GACTAAAATAAATAAAAAAATCAAAGTGAAACGAAAATATAGAAAAGAAAAATAAATCAAGAAATAAATATAAACAAAGTGATAACCAAAATGTAATTAAAAAAATGAGAAAACAAGATAATATTTAACAAAATATCTAATAACTATATGAGTTAAGGGTAAGAGTTAATCTAACTCTTACTATCTTTAACTATATGAAAGAGAAATTATTAACCTCTCGTGAGGGTGAATTTTCCTTCATTCCTTTTGGGAGAGTTCTCTCTGAACTGTTTGTTTAAAAAGATATAGTTAATGAAGTATATATGACAGGTTAAATTGAAGCACTTTAGGCCTAATGACTTCTTGACAAGTGTACCAATGATGTCGCAGTAATAAAAAAATCAAACCCACAAGGATTGTGTTCAAATAGAACAATGATTTGTGCAATATTAAATAAAAAAAGTAAAACAGGGTTTTTGTAAGTTTTCAGTGCAAAAAGTAAATAAACGAGAAACCTATGTCACGAAAGCGGTTAGATTGTGTTTTAAAATCCCTTTATCCCTTCTTGTTGGTGCACGATGCCTTGTATGAATGATCTTATCCTTATAATCATACTGCAAATTAAAAAAACCGTTATAGTTAGTCCCCCACGAAATATATCACTTAGAACTACTTTGAGGTTTCTATCCCTAGTCTGCCAGCGTAAGCATTGTTAGGCGATGTAAAGACTGTTAATTTCATGTGCCACAACTCTAGGTCTCATACCCCTATTCAACTGGCTTAAGTAGAACAATTGTCTTAGGTCCAACACATAGGCTACGGGTCAGGAATCCCTATGTGTCTAACAACAGATTAATAATGTATCTCAAATAAAAAGCATTAAGAGAAACAACTAAATAAAATTATAATTCACAGGATTCAAACAAAGCCAAAATACCAGATAATCCCAACAAGATTGAATAAGGTTCATCATCACATAACCTTACCTATGAGAATTTAGTTACACATTATTCAGAAAAGAATACCATAATCGATAGATGAAAATAACATGAGAAGTCCCTTGAAGAGATGGCATCCAATGGCTTCAAATGCTATAAGAATCTCCTTTTGTCCTCCTAAATTAATGCTATAAACTCTCACTTTTGTAACCCTTGAAAAAGTGCCAAAATTCCCTTTAAAAGAAGTCAGAATGGGTCAGAAACGTGTCAAAAAAAAACTCATCGCACGCACGATGCTTTTCATTGTGCATATAATATTGCACACAGTGTATCACACATGTGATTATTCCAGAATGTAGATAATTATCTTAGCTTCATTTTCAAAAAATCGAGCGTCAAATGAGTTATGGAACTCTAGATATGAATAATTTACTAGACAAACGTCAAGATGTAAATTGTGCTAAAAATTGTTGTTGTTTCACAATTTCTTGGCTTTACTCTGTTTCTTCGACTTCTTCATTTTCTTTATACTTCTTCATATTTAGCTCATATTTAACTTGAGATTTCATCGAATTCATCTCAAATACTCATAAAAATCATGTAATGACAAACTGTCATCAAGACCTCTTGGGAAATGAAGCTTGTAGGTGTTAAGGGCTTGAAGATTGGGAAGAAGAGGAAGCGTGACCCTTAAGGAAGAATCTCTAGATGCTCTTCTGTCCATTTGGTTATCTGTTATTTCTCCTTGTATTCCCTTAAACCATTTTTTATCTTTTTTTTATTTAATGAATATTTCCTTTTTCTTTGTATTTAGTTAATCTCTTTGATCATTTAATGATCTTTTTTATGACAACAAAGGGGGAGAAGAGTAATAATTTTGATCATTTTTATTTAGTTGATAAAATTCCAAACATTAAGAGTGTGTTAACATTAACATTTTGAATAAGTCAATGATAATGACTCTGAAGAATTTAATTTGACAACTCTAAAGAAAAAGTATTTTACCAAAAGAGTTTAATTGAATCAAAATTCTAAGTAGTGTACTCAGAGGGAGCTTTGCAAACCTCACTCGGTAGTTAAGCTGAAGAATTTTGATAGTCTAAAAAACTAAGAGGAAGCTTACAAACCTTACTCAAAATTTTTTAGATCTTAAAGTTAGGGTGAGCTTGCTAACCTTACTTTGTTGATTTGAGTTGAAGAAATAATTTTGAAAGTATAAAATTCAGGGGGACGTACAATCTTATCTTTGAAGTTTTATAAATATGCTTATCTAATTTGAATCTTCATTGGAAGCAAAATTATTTTGAATCTTAAAATTCTGTGGGAGCTTGTAAACCTCACTCTGTAGGTTTAAGTTGAAGAAATAATTCTGAAAGTATATAACTCAAGGGGAACTTACAAACCTAACTCTAAAGTTTTATAAATATGATTATCCAAGTAAAAATTGTTCATTAAAATATAATTGTTTGTCATCATCGAAAAAGGGGATATTGTAAGAACAAGTTTGGTACTAACACTACAAACCTTTAAGTTTTGATGATAATAAAGTATAGAAGAACAATTTTATGCACTAACTATTTTGTTAAGTATGCAGAAACTCAAAGGCTAAAATAGAATCTAAATGAAGAAAGCAAATGCTAACTGAAGCAGATTCTGATCAAGAAATTTATACTGTCAAGTCTAAAAGTCAACTAATAGTCAACTCAAAAGAAATCAAAGTCTAATAGAAAGCAAATTTCAAATCAAAGCAAAGTCTGAAGCAATGTTTGAACATTTTTTTGGCCCTTTACAACATAAACTTCAAAGCAAAGCCCTAATAATTAAGCCCATTTTTTAAAGCCCCTTACAACATAAATATTTATTTGACCCCTTATTCTTAAGCCGACTCATATTTTTGTTTTTTATGTGGCCGAATTAAGGAGCTCAAAATCTAGTTAGTTTGAAACAAAATATTTTAATATTTTAATTATTCTTTTTCAAAAAATAAATGATTTTAAAATTAATTTCTTCTAAAAAATGAATAAATAATATTTTTTAATAAAAAAAGTATATGTTTTTCGAAAAAAAAAATTGACCTTTTCAAAGTTAAAAAAGTCGAGTGTTTTTCGAAAAAAACAAAAAAATTGATTTCTTTCAGAAAAAAGGCCAATTCTTTTCGAAAAAAAAACTACTTTTTCAAAAATAAAAAAGTTGATTTCTTTTTTTCGAAAAAATTGATTTTTTCCGAAATAAAAAGTCAGTTTTTTAGAAAATAAAAAAGATCGAGTTTTTTATGAAAATTAAAAAAATTGATTTTTTTTAAAGTTAAAAATAGTTGATTTTTTTCAAAAATAAAAAATCGTTTTTATTCAAAAATTAATAAAAAAGTCAATTTTTTCGTAAATTGATAAAATTTGATTTTTTTTCAAAAATAAAACTGATTTTTCAGAGAAAAAAATCAATTTTTTGGAAAATAAAAAGAAACCGATTTTTTTTTCAGAAAATAAAAAAAGTCGATTTTTTTTCAAAAGTTTAAAATACTCGATTTTTTTAAAGTTCAAAATAGTTGGTTTTTTTCAAAAATAAAAAAGTCGATTTTTATCCAAAATAAAAATAGTCGACTTTTTCAAAAGTAAAATATAGTTGATTTTTTACGAAAATAAAATCAATTTTTCTGTAAAAAATTGATTTTACGACAAATAAAAAATATTGACTTTTTCTTTAAAAAATTGATTTTTTTTATAAGTTCAAAATAGTCAATTTTTTTCAAAAGTTAAAAATAGTTGGGTTTTTTCGAAAATAAAAATAGTCAATTTTTTTTCGAAAAAAATCAAGTTGTTTTGAAAAACATTCTAAAATAAAATAATCGATTTTTCTGAAAATATAAAAGTTAATTTTTCTCGAAAGTTAAAAAATAATCGATTTTTTTTAAAATGAAAAAAAAAAGTTCAAAAGAAAAAACTGATTTTTAGGCCTCAGCCCCTAATTTGACAGCTATACGAATACTAATGTGAAGGTGAAATCTCCTCCTCTAAATGGACCATTTTTCTGCTTAATTTTCTTCACAACTTCAGTCACTAATTGGAAAAGAATGGCATGAAACTGAACCACTTCTATTGAAGACACCTCTACATTTGAAGATTTATTCTCACATATGGGAAGAACATATTTGTGTGGGTGATTGAATTTGGCTTTTGGAATTTTAAAGGTTAAATCACGTGGTTGGGAGAATTTGTGGGAAAAGTGTGATAGAGCAAAGGTTGGAGATGGATTAGAGGACATAGAACATCTTGTAGAGAGGTGAAACAGAACATGCTTTTGTCTAAAAGCTACCTGATCACGTGATTTTGAGTGAAAAGAGAGACGAGTCTTGTTGAATTAATGTGAGTGGTGAATGGGGGTTACATACGATCAATGTAACAGTATGTGGGATATCTTTTTGAATGAATGATTGTGATAAATTATGAATAAGTGAAGAGAAATTTAAAGGTGGATAATGATTCGTAGAGGATAAGAAGGAATCTTTGTGTAGTGTGAAAGACTCCAGTGACGAACGTGCAACAGGTGGCAGGTGCTTGGCAACTGGTTAACTGACGTGCAGCAGGCGCGTGGAAAACATTGACTAGACCATTGGCTTATGCGTAGCAGGTGGGCATGTGAAGAGATCACGACCGCGTGATGCATCACGATTTTGATCAAGCGGTGGTAATGGGTTTCCCTTTGTATGTTTTTGACTGTCTGATGGAGAATATTTTGGATCATGCGGTCTTGAAGAGATAATAGTAGAAAATGGCTTATTATTATATAGTACTTGGTATTTGTCTGATGTTACCTTTCTTTTAACATTAGATAATGGTGAAAGCTTGATGAACTCCTTCTGTAAACATCGATATGGTGGCTCTGGAGGTGGTGGCGACGAAGTTGTTTTAGTTAGGAGCAGTGGCGGAGTTACCAAAGGTTGATCAAGTATCGACGTTAGTGGTGGTAGACTAGAAATCGTAGACTTCAAAACCAGATTTGTATCATTTTTTGGATCTCAGTAATTTTTTTGAACGTGCAAGAATCAAATGGATTCCGAGTTAGATTTGTGAAAATTTTATCTCTTTATTTCGGTTTAAATCTCCATAACAAAGTTGTTGTAAATGTATCCCAAGTATATCTGCGATGAACACGAGACCCCCATATCCACCATTTAAGAGCAGAACCTCTTAAAGCTCCAAAAACTTTCAACACCTTCAATGACTCAGGTGTTCCATGCTCCTTGAAGAATTTCTTAAAACAAAGAATCCACCAATAAGCATCTTTTTCTTCATCAAACAATAATATTATCATGAGTTAAATAGGAGAGTGAGATCGAAAATGAGAGTACCAATTGGTAGGTAGTTTTTCGGGTTTCATAATATTAGAGAGAACAATAAAAACTATCTAAAAAAGTAAAATAAAAAATAACATTTTTCAATGATTAATACCTTAAAATGTCACACGCACGCACACACACGCGCGAGCACGCACGCACACGCGCGCGCGCACACACGCACACGCACATATATATTTGTTTTATCGATCCCTCCAAACGTGCAATTTGAACACTAAATTTGTAGAGGTAAACAAAAAAAATTATTATATATAATGAATTAAAAGCTCAAACAATAATAGTCCAATCACAATACTCATAATTAATAATATAAATTTTAAATTATATTTTACTCGTCTATCGGATTCTCTCTATAATATATATATATATATATATATATATATATATATATATATATATATATATATATATATATATATATATATATATATATATATATATATATATATATATATATATATATATATATATATATATTATCCCTTCAAACGTGCAATTTAAACATTAAATTTGTAAAACTAAACAAAAAAAATTATTACATGACTAACTTTATTGCTTACAGGGTAAAAGACATAAAATTTAACATTTTAAGAAGGGAATTCAATTTTTTTTTTACTGAGAATAAACCAAAACTCGACTAGATTATAAGCGATGTTGTATATTGTATATTATGTAAATTCAAAAAGTTGTTAGATTAATTTTTCTATTACATTTTGAATAATATCAATATTATGATAAAATTCTAAACAATTTTTATATGATAAAAGTACTGAAGTGTAGAATGGTTTAAATTGTTATCTCTTTTGAATTTATAAATTTTTATTGTGCTATTTTATTTTAATAAAATTATATATAATCTTAAACAATTATAATTAAAATATTTAATGAATACTTGTCACCTCTCCTAATAGTTTATATAAGATCCTTCACTGATTATATGATTATATGGAATCATCATCCTCATAAAATAAAATAGTGTATTCTCTAATTCATAAAAAACGCATATAATACATGTTGACAAATAATAACAACATACAAACTAAAGTAGGAGAACAAGCTACAAGTCCAACACTCACAACAACTTAAAGGAGTGTGGTTTTGAGAATTGATCGAGAACAGGAGATAAAAGTGGTTCTCATAGATTAGTTTGTCTCTTACGAAGAATTGAAAACTTGGAGTGGGAGACATATTCCTTTAGATAAGAAAATCACTTTAGTAATTATGCTTTGAGTAGGATGCCCCATGTACTATTTTCTTTTGCGTGAATGTGGACAATTCTTTCCTAATGAAAAATGTCTAATCATCCTTTCGTTTAATTATTCAACAAATTTAAATTTAAATTTTTGTTTATAATAGTAAACGGATTGAATATTAATCATTTAAAAATAATAATTGGATGAAATATAACCTTTTAGTGGTAAATAAGTATATATAAACATTTTTTAAAAACGGCGAAAATGAAAATAGCCTATGACATTAGAGGGATGAAGTATTACTTAAATGACAAAATTGTATGAAATACTATTTAATTTAGTTTAATATTTAAAACATGTCATTTATTTATACTTATTTATTAAAATTATATATTTTTATAATGCGCTCTAAATATATATCTAGAAATTAACGGTAATGAATGAAGGATGTTAGAATTTTTAACCGTGGAATAAAAATATAACACATTGTCTCATTCTATTATTATTTAAGTATTTTATGACGAGTAGAACAATTTTTTATATTTCCCAAATAAGGGCTTAAAAAATGGCGTGTAACTAAAGAAATGTAATAGACAACACTTCATTTTATTTTACATATGATTTTAATTAATTCAAATAATAGAATTTTTTATTATAATTTGTCACATATCACTTCATTTATTCAACCCAAACAAATCATTAGAATCTATTTGATGTACAAAATAAAATATAAATAGATGAAATTAGATTAACGAGATACTTTATTTTTCAATTGATCTATTTGGTTAATTTTATAAATATGTGCTATATCATTTTTATATGATCATACTAAGAACTACCTTACTTCTAATTAGTAGCTATTAGTAATACAATGCAATTATTACCGATCACATGTGAAATTAGTAATAATCACATGCGAAATTAGTCATAAGACAATTATCCATACACTTAATATCATTCTGGGAGAATGTCAGAGCATATAGTCTAGCTCCTCCCAGAAATTGTATGCCCGCCAGGTTATAGCTGTGGAGGACTTGCCTCATAATTCAAGATCAGATCTAAATATTGAGATTGGTTTCTCTCGTAAATATGCTGAAGGTATCCTTCCTAGTGAAAATAATCTTATAGTGATAAAGGTACAACTCTCAGGCTGAGAGATAAAGTGAGTTTTGATAAATCTTGAAAGCTCAGTTAATGTCTTATATTAGGATGCCTTAGAGAGGTTAAAATTGGATCCTAATGGACTAAAATCACTGAAGGACTCCTTACTTAGCTTCTCATGTGAGCCAAGTAAAAGGTTATTTCACCCACAAAATAGTGTTCAAATTAAAAGAGAACACCAAGTCGATCAAAGTCAAATACCTTGTCATTGATACCCCCTCATCCTACAACATTGTGACCCACTTTCATCCTTCTAGAGGCCGCCCCAAGTCTAAAGTATCCTATAAAGAATCAACATATAAGCTTGATCAAAATAGACTAGGAGATCACCCTAAAATGCTATCGATATATTTTAAGAATCATAAGAGCAATAATAGTTGTGTGCGTCGTACCACAACCAGATATCTATGGTGAACTTTTGGGATTTAGATCCCAGACAAAAGCTTTAGAGAGAAATACTTATGCCTACAAAATACCTAAAGAATGTCCAAATAGGTCCACTTGAATTCCGTACCGCTATGTTGAGCACTTCCTTAACTTGCTCCAAAAAAACATTAACCAAGTGGAGGATCGAGACAAGAGTCGTGTCGGTGGCGGTTAGAATTCTACATTTGTGAGCCACCACTGAATTGTTTCGGGTCCCATTGGAAATCCTTGACTTTCTTGATGGTCGTGACGTCATGTTAGCTTATATGTTGCTATACTTTATTCGTTATTATCGATTATTATGTGGCTATGGTTAAATAGTGGATAAGTATGGTAGAGAATAATTGGAAGTGAAACAAGGTAATTTGGTTTATCTTGTTTTGGTTTACCAACTAATAGATTTTTTATAAGAAATATTGATTAAGATAAGAAGTACAAGGGGTACTTCGATCCCTTACAAATCAAAAGAAGCAAAAGCTTCAAAGGGCAACAAACATAACGCCAAACAAAACAAAAACAACAATACAAGAAACTAAACAACAACCAGACAACATGAAGCCAAAATGGTGAAAGGAGATGGAACTAGCTCATGGAAGAAAAAAGGATCTGACAACCAAACTGATTACGAAAATTTTAGGTGACCTTTTACCTTGGAACCAAACAATTTCAAGCTAAGTTTTTTGCAAGGTAATAGATATCAAAAGCTCATTTCATCCATCCCTTGAACAAAGTCTCATTCCTAATTAACCAAATCGCTCTCACCATAGGTAGCCACACAAGGAGTTTGTAGCTAGCAATAAATTTGCCTTGCAGATTCGCTCCAAAGCATAACAAGTGACATGCATAAGAGATACAGGACGACAACCTGCATATTCATAACCAATATGAGATATAATTCTAGACCCTAGCAAGAATAATGAAAATAAAGAAGATATGAAAATGGGATTCTTCTAGCCCCAAGCAGAGTGGACAACAAGATTGTGAGCACCCGAGATAACTCATCCTTCGTTTGAGGCCTTCCTAACAAAATCTTCCAAACAGACATCTGCAAGTTACTCGCCACATTCGTTTCCAAGAAAGCAAAAGATATTTCTTCAAATTGATTTCCTAATTGAAGTCTTAACTAAGCAAAAGGAACAACCTGCAATAATAAGATTTAACAAAGAAACCAAACGAGTTAGGCAACCAAACAAATGTTAGAAATATAGGTAAAGTTGAATGGAGCCAGGTCTGAATTGTGAATAGTTTCACTTTCCTTAAAAGTATATCAAGCACTCTCAAATATGTCTTAATGTTGGAACGCAAAAATACTCAAGATAAATAATGCTCAAGTTCTGCCTACAAGCCGCCACTAGCACCTCTACGCCCACGCTCTCGGACCTGGTTCCGGACCAGCGAAGGTGTATGGAGGATACAAGTGGCATAATGCTTAGAACCACCATATTTGTCCATGTGGAATTTATCCTCTTTTGTCCTTTTATTAAGTTAATGTTCTTAACTTTTTATAAAGGTTTTGAATGTGAGTAAATATTTCTATGTGGAACTATTTCTCTTGCATTTATTATCATTTACTCCATCCCACTTTTCTTATCATTTTAGAACACACATACATGAACATTGAATGTTCATGAACTTATAACAATCCCTCACTTGTTCCAATAATGACAAGACTAATTTCAGAAAAGAGAAACAAATAATGTTAATACAATTAAGTATCTTTTAATTTGAACTTAAACTTAGTAAGAATAATGCAAAGTCTAATCGAAATGTTAGGTAGCAATGATTTGAATTGTTATCCCTTGTGATTATACCAGCGTTACCTTACACACACACTCTTTAATGGTTCTTCGCCTACATCTTTCACCTAGCACTATTTATGGCGATGTGTTTTTCTTGTTTTCGTGAATTTTTCATGAGAGAAACTCCAACTCTCACTTTGAGATGACACCATCTCGAAATTTATATAAGTAAAGTTCATAGTGTATCCTTTTCCATGAGACATATACCCTGGGTATTGAACTTTATTAAAAGTTTAAATAAAAACTCAACCCTCATTTTAAAGATCAACATTATCACGAAATGTTCGAAAATCTAAATCAAAGACTTGTTGTTACCCATTGAATCTTAAGGTTAATGTTCTGTTAACTTAAGATTGAGTTACCACCGCTGTCGGAACT